GCTTCCGGTCACCACAGAGCAGAGATCAGTGCCTGCCCCTCCTCTTCCCTTCATGAGGAAGTTGTAACTGAGGTCTCCCCTCAGTCTCCTCTTCTCCAGCTGGACAGACCAACTGCCCTCAGCTGCTCCTCCTACGGCTTCCCCTCCAGGCCCTTCACCATCCTCACAGCCCTCCTTTGGACACTCTCTATGAGCTTAATGTCTTTTCTATATTGTGGTGCCCAAACCAGCACACAGTACTCAATGTGAGGCTGCACCAGCGCACAGTAAAGTGGGACAAAGACATATTTATGGTTGACCAATGTCCAAAGTCTTTGTGATTTCCTGAGAAGTTTACTACACTAGCTTCTGACACTCCTTCTTTCTTTATAGGATGTAATGCAATTCAGCTCTCATTACTAGATCCAGTCTTGTCACCCTGACTTTCTTCAAGTGGCACTTGCAGTTGTAGCACCCAACTTACTTCACCAAGTGGAGGCATAAAGTGCCTGAGCACCTGTTTCACTTGCAGTTCTTGAGTCTGAACATCTACAATTATTGCTGGTTATTGCTTTGAGAAAGGTGGGGATTGTTCTAGCAATGGCCTGCTGCCTAGAGATGTGGTTTGCTCTATTACGTGAAGTGATGGCTTGCCTTCCCACTAACTGGTAGCTCTCCATGGTCCTTCACTCTCTTCCATCACTTCATTTATTACACACAAGTTCATGCATTTTTGCTAATCAGAGCTGGTGATCCGAACAGCTGGCTCTCTCTCTAGTATATAAACAGATTTCAAGCCTAAATAATGTTTCAATTACTTCCCTTAAACAGTTCCTCTCTCATACTGTGTTCATGGCAGACTAAGCCTTTGATTCTCAGAAAGGTACCTACATGCCAACTGTTCAGTAAACATCCAGTCTGATAGTATTCATGTTGGGTTATCACTAATTTAAGCTTGAATTACAGCTCCAAGCACCCCCCAGCCTAGCAACCTGCCTATTGGTGAAGACCAGGGTAACTACAGAATTGGGCAACAAGTGATGCTTTACTCAGATCACTCATATCCAAGTAACTGAATATCTGCGTGAAAGACATCTGAAGTCTAATATACAAAGCAGCTATTAAAAAAAACCAACAACAATAAAAGTCCAATATTCTACATTTACACCAAACAAAGCATGGAAAAATGGCATGCACACAGCTCTTCAAACCGGACTGCAAGCTACTATGAATCTCGTGTCCAGTGTCCCATATAAAATCCAAGGCAGCTTATCCCTCTTTCACTAAAAAGAATGCTGTGCCTTTCTGGTAAGGTAAGAGCAAGTACAAAGGCAGCAGCTGAAGAGCTGTGCATCTATAGTCAGTGTGTTGGCAAAAGTATCTCCCCTACAGACTAAGCTAGAACAGCAAAAGCCAAAGTATAGTTTAAATTTCAAAATGGAATTACATACAGAAATTGCATTAGTGAAAAATTTGTCTTTACAGCAGTATCATTATCTGAACATCAGCTTCACAGCGAAAGAGAAGATGGACAATGGTGATATGGCTTCAACTTCCAGCTCTGCGAGAGATTCCTCATGTGAGCTTAAACAAAACATAAATGTTTTGCTGTTCTCCATTTTAGAAACCAGGAGCAGCAAATACCTCTTTGCTTCCTCTCCTGCCATCTGCCTTTTTTGTTTACACTGTGGTGCTAAGAAGACACACAGACATGACTTAGTCAAAACACAGTTACTCCTGTTCATTTCAACAGGAGTTCCTCACCATCCTGGGCACTCAGTTACCTCTCTTCTTAGTGTCTACAAAAGAATTAAGCTAAGTTTAATTAAAATAAAGCTGTTTTTTCACTCATACCAGGAATCAAATTTCTGTTCTGCAAGGCAGAAAGGCCTCGTATGGTATCTTCAAAAAATAAAAGTTTTAAAATCCCTAAATTACTCCTATTTGAAGTGATAATTCAGATCACTGCTGAGTCATGATTTCTTAGAACAAATACATCTTCCATTTTGTCTGTCATTTATTTCAATATTACTTATAGTAATCAATATTTATCAGATTTCTTATACAAGAGAGAGTGGTAAGATTCCAGACACCTGTGTGTCTGAAAATAATCAGCAAGGAAAAAAAGTAGCAGCTAAACACAACATGTGCGTAAGAACTTCCTGCAATGATTTGGCAGACCAGTTTGTTTGTCCCAAATTAAATACTAAGTACTGTATTAATACACAAAGGCAGTAATTTGCCTTATTTTCAGACACAGTCATCCAGGATCTCACTGCTGAAAAATCAGCAGCCCTATGTGACCAAGCACCAAAAATGTTAAAATCGACGGTGATTGCACAGGTGTTAAATACCAATGCAATGTACACATAACTGTTACAAAACAACACAGACAATACTTAATATGGGTCTAGAATGGCCACTGCACTCATTTTCAAGTGACATTGAATATCAAAGAGCAAGACACAAACTGTAGTAACGAGTTTGCATTTTTATACTGTCTTTCAGGCATGGTCATATGTAATTTTGCCAGCAGCAGTTGAAGGAGTCAGTAGTTGCACTCTCCCTTTTAATCTACTCCCACCCTCTTCAGCATGACTCTGTTCACCCCCAGGGTCTTACCACAGATTACTTGCTTTCACCCAGTACTAAGAATATACTTATTTTAAAGGGCCAAGGAAGGATCTGTTTAGTGAACAGCAATGGAAGCATCCGAAGAGGTTCAACCACGGAGATGGTAATTTCTGGCAATAAAGTAGAAACAAAATATGGGAATGTGTAGCTTCAGACTGGATCTGCTGGTGATAGAAGAATAAAGTGTAACTGTAGCCTTAACCTTTACAGAGCCCTGTACACTTTAACATCTACTAAAAACCCCTACAATAATTTAATTTGTAAGTACAGATTCTCTCCTCAACAGTAAAGTTTAACATGGGTATCCACAGGCTCTTAAAACCACTAGAACAGCATCTGTGATTGCAGAACAGCAGGATAAGTACTCAAGCTAGGTTTCAGCTTATTCAACTAGATTGTCAGATGTAACAATTTAGAAACCATCTAAATGTATGAACATCAGAGCCCTGAAAAAAATCAGTAAAAGCAAGAATAGCTCTCTAAAGATCCAAAAATGATGCCTACAAAAATGAAGGCAGGGCAGAAATAAGCAGAACAAGACTGTGCTGATGTGCTTGTTCCTACTTTACTGGATAATGTTTGTCACAGAGCAATGTTAATTTAGATATTACTTGTAGGGTGAATTGTAAGAGAAAAGAATACTTTAAAGTTTCTTTCAATTCAAAGATAAATGTTACTGACCAAAGATCAGAATCACCACAGAATTGCCTGTGGTAGAATCATTAAGTAGGAAACAGTGGCTTGATGATAGAAAGGTAGGATAGGTAACTGCCATCTTAACTTTGGGGGGAAAACCAAAAAAATTCCACACCTAATAATTTCCTTTCTTACAAGACTATCCATAACAAGACTATCCAACAACTCAATATATCCAGAGGGGGGTTGTTGTTTTTTTTAACAGAAAAATATGCAATGGTACATGTTTTGCTTCAATTGCTTAAGTGAATAGCAATGTACCAGTCCTTTACACTATATAAAATTAAAAATCCACTGGACTGACAGACTTGGTGAAAGGCATGAATTCAACCAGATTCTGATGAGCAGGAATCCTGCAGCTGATACATGGAAAGGTAAGGTACCATTAAGGTCCTTGTGAAATGATTGAATCCACATTTAAACAGAAAACTCATCACCATGAAATGCCCTGTTCAATGACCCTCCTAAAGACAGTGGAATTCAGCCAGACAAAACTTTTCAGTAAACAACAGCTTCATGAAGCATATAAAGGATTTCAAAGCTAAATCTTTATCCTTCTTTGACAACCTTATCATTGTTTGAGGAGCCTCCTATATTGGCAGCCTTTCCTTGCTCACAATTAAGAAGTGTCAAAAGTTTTCCTTGGCTGAGATTAGTCTGGATTGACCATCAGCTTTTATGGTGCTAGGAGGAACAGGTCTGATCAGTGCTGAACATTTTAAAAGAAACCCTTGTACTTCAACAACCGTTCTAAAATCTCCTTACTTTTTTAAAAGATTAAGTAACTAGTAATTAGATTAGGAGATGTTAGCAGAGGTGTTAAATACTCCTACTCACAGCAAGTAGATAAAGCCTACATTTTCCTTGCAATGCTCTTTACTTTAAAACACATTAAAAAAATTCTGTGCTACGAGTCTGACATTACCTGGTGTTATACACTTGAGTTCTCAGTACTTTAGAGGTTCATTGGGCCTTCAAATTCATTTCTACATTATTGTAGGATGTCAGAGCATTCTTAACTCCCCTCCTGTTTCAAACAGGTATCATGTTTAGATGACCTATTCTCATATCTATATTAATGTATATACTATAGTGAATAATTTGGAAAGGTTTGGTTTTCTTCATGTCATTGTCATCTTCACTGTGTTATCAGTCACTGGAACAGGCTCCCCAGGGAAGTGGTCATGGCACTGAGCCTGTCACAGTTCAAGGAGCATCTGGACAATGCTCTTTAGTCATATGGTTTAGTTTTAGAAGGGAAGAAGCAGGGAGTTGGACTCAAAGATCCTTATATGTCCCTTCCAACTTGAGATATTCTATGATTCTATGATTGCACTTACAACGAAAGCTAAATCCATCCAGAGAGCCATTAAGCAGAAGCAATCCTATACAGAAAAAAGTGCAACACATTAGCATAAACAATGATGGCAAAACACTACTGGCAATGTCTTTAAACCATGTCTGTTCAAGAAGAATGCTCTTTAAAATGAGCAGCTTTTAGGTAAAGGAACAAACAGGAACACTAAAGAACAAACTATTTCCAGGCATGATCATTAGGGGAAGAAATTACTCTCCAAAAACGTCTGTATTAAATCAACTACTGATTCCCAGTCAAATATGTTCTTTTTAAAGTATCTGGTACAAGAGCACTCAGACTGCAAGGACAAGTTATGCAAAATCACAGACTACAATACATTGTAACACAGTATTATCTTTATTTCAAAATTGTACAAAGTATAAACATAAAAGATATAATTAGGCTGAAGTAAACCCTGCTCTTTAAGTATCTGACTACTTTAGCAACGATACCGTCATCCAACTTTATCTTATGGAGCGATACATCATGAAATCAATCGTTGTGCATCGAGGGAATTTCCCAATGGAGCTCTCTTCCACTGGGGTGTACACTTTGATTTGTCTCATGTGAGTGTCCCTCCCGTTCTGGTGATTGGCTAGGACAGCAATCTGGATCATGAACGTGCGGATTGGCTTCTTGTGAGTGTCTGTCAGAGGAACGTGAATCCAGCCGCTCGGTTCCACTAGTTCAAGTTGCTGCCAAAAACAAGACAGAAAAGCAAAACATTCAGACCCAGTTAACATACTTACTATAAATGATCACATCTTAAACCCCTTTCATAAAGCAGAGTCTTGCAAATCAGATTTTAGTTGCTTTTTCAAGTTAATTTGAAATAGTACAGTCGAAAACTCATAGCTAATTTACTGCTCGTGTAATTGGATACAAATTAATCTGGTTGACTGCAGTTGTGGTTGCTTTGGCCTTTCAGAATCTACTCTTCATTTTGTGCCCTAATCTTAAAACAAAAATCAATATAAAGAACTACAGACTTCAGAATAAATTCAAGAAAGCCAAAGCAAGGATCCTGTTACTGAAGCACATTGCCCAAGGATGACAGAAAACATGCATCCTAATTTGTTTTATCTAGGCACTCTGGACTGAAATATGCTGGAATGACTTATGTAGGAAACTAAATGCACACAAAGGCTGGGTTTTCAGAAATTCCTTAGATTATTAGGAGGACTGGGGAGGAGGAAAAGGAAGGTGACAGAGGAAAAAATACAAGACATCTCATAAATTTTATGTCACCCACGTGTCAAGACAGATGCCTGGTCAATTAATACTTGCTGCACAGCCAAATGGACAAATCACATTCTAATCACATTTTGACTTGGCTTTTATACAACATACCCAGTCTGATAGGATTATTTTTTCTTTTTTAATTTTAATCCTACACAAACCAATGAAAAAGCCAGCAAGGAACAGCATTTTGTTAACTCTAAACCACATCACTGACACGTCAGATTGCCGAAATCAAGCTGGACACTATGCAGAAGTGTGGCAAAAGCTTTTGTTTAAAAACTAGTTGTCCAACTTCAAAGCACAACCCAAACACATATGGGAAGAGCACACAAGGAAGCGGAAGTCTTGGGGGGAAGAAAAACAAGACACAAAACAATTGTCCACAAGCAAGTGGATTTCACACAGCTAAGCAAATAAGACTGCTGTTCTTAGCAGCAGAGTTCCTCTAAGGAAGATGGATGAGCTTTGAGCAGCTCAAAATTCCCATCTTTCTCCTGCAAATACTGCATGACACACATCCTGTTAAATGCCTTGTTTATGCTGAAGCTTTCAAAAGAGCTACTGGTTCAGAGGCAGTAAACACCTTGAGAATGACCCAAGAAACAAGTAAAAAAAAAAAAATCTGATGACTACTTTAAGCTTAAAGAAACAAACGAAAAAAATCTCTCACACCTCCACCTTAAAAAAAAGAAAGGAAAAAACCCACCAGAAAACAAAAAACCGCAGCCCAAAACTCTCCATTGCTGCAGACTCTCCAACAAATAATTTCCAAAGTATTAAATTCACTAAACCTTAGCAGCAAATCATTTCCCTCCAGGAGCTAGACACTTCACAAACACACAGTCACTTATTTGTTGTAACCTGTCCCTTTCAAAAAAGCTACAAACCCTTTTTTTTTTTTTGCATAGGAAACTTCAGGTAATGGCTGACTTCAAAGTGATAAAAAAATGATGTACTGTTGAAGCAGCTTTACAAAGGGCAGATTTATCATGGTGAGGTAGCAGTAAACAGCCTGAGCAAGTATGCTTTCCATCTTCACAGCAAACAGGAAGGATGAGGATCCTCCTAATATTTTATTCAACTAGTACTAAGGTAAAGTGTCTGATTTAGAAGAGAATGAAAAGGTTATTGCTAATTAAACTTGCATTTTTATATTATTCTCAGAGTTTAAAAATTTTGACTGCTAATTCAAAGTGGAAAAGTTGAGTTCCAGAGCTATAATCTTGGGATTTTTATGCTTGGATCAGTATGAAATAGATTTTTAAAACAGTATAAAAAAGTGAAACTTTCTATAGTTTGACAACATTGGTTACAGACAGATCCAATATAATCTGGGTTTTCATGGTCTATTGGGAAAGAAATTGCAAAAGTGAAATAATGATTCCCCCACTCCAGAACCAAGACAGCTACCAAGGGATTGGCAAAATTAGGTTATTTATACAAAATTAAATTGAATCCTTAATAAATTCACAGAGAAAATTCACATCTTTTATTTTAAAAGAATTATTAGGCTCAGAAAGGGAAGCATTGGAAAGTTAAAAGTTGCAAAGGTAATTTCACTCACATAAAAATATACTTGTATCTCATTACATACATTTTTTATTACATGTTTATCAATGCTTTATTTCATCCCTAATCAAGGGAGGGGGTTACATGGTCTGTTTATGGTGTGTTATTTTCCAGTTTTGCTACAAAGGCAACCAATTTCTTTCTGAGCCTGTCTACAGAGATGGGTCAAGTAATTTCTTCACCTGCAAAACTGGCAATCGAGGCATTACGTTAATTAAATTAAAAGGTTCTCTGGCTCCAGACTGAGCTGGTTTTTACTATCCTCAGTAAAAGACAGGATTTTGCAGGGTTTAGCTCCCACTGAGTTCACTTGCAGTTCTAAGTGTCTGCATTTCCACAAACTGACATGAGTTCTCAAACCAGCCACTAGATCATACAGCATGAGCAGTAACCTAGGAACAGTTATTTGAGTGCATCATGTAGAAATACCACAACTAAGCACAGATGGCACACAATTCATCAAGCAGCATTTAATTGTCTTAGCCACAAAGCCTTTTTTTTTCCCCCCAAAAAATCTTGACTTCACTTACTCCACATTTTTCAACTTCTATAACAGATGAATATACAGACTTTACTGTATAAATCCTGGACTCATCCTCAGAATAAACCCCTTTACCCATTCCAGTCAAATAGCTGCCTGTTGGACAAAGCATGTGACACTTGTGAGGGAGTTGGAGGTTGCACTACAATGTAGTAAATGCAAGAGGTCAGAGTTAGACTTAAATGTTTGAAAAAATGAGCTCTTGATTTCTGCCCTCTAAACAACATTCCTGCCCTGGGACATTGGAGTATTTTCTTTAAGTTGATGCCTATATAGTTTGTTAAAACCTTGATACCCACTCAACATTTAAACTGCAGCTTAAATGCAACAAAACCTAACTACTGTTATCTGAACATCCAGTAGAAAAGGAAGTAATATTTTGCCAGTATGATACACACATTTTCTGTGACCAAAAGAATGGTATAAACCACACACACACACACACACAGAGGGTCCTAAATTCCTCTCCACATCTGTCATGCTGTTCCAGATGAATGAGACAGTTTCTTTTCCAGAGGGCCCAGGTCCACCACCAGGGAAAAGGCCCAGGACATGGGAATAGGCAGTGGTGATACAAGACACAATGCTGCCCACTCTCAGTTCAGTGTCAGCACCCACATCCAGCTGTTACAATTCCTAGTAGAAGTGGGATGAAATACGCAGTTCTACCCTGCCTGGAGCATTCCCAGTGTGAACAAAATCTAAAGGAAGCTTACTGTGAAGTTTTAAGAAATTCCTATTAAGCCCATGCAAATGGCAATCTTTCAAAGCCTTGTAAACCGGTCTGGAAATTTGGGTGGATTTTTACAGGGAGGCAAAAGGCACATCCTCAACACAAAGGCTGAACTATTGCCAAATTTCAAATCCTTGCTTCAGAGCTTGGGGGCACTGGAGCATCAAAGAAGGACACCAGAATATTCTCACACAAGCAAAACAGCATACTTTTCACTGGCCTTATTCTTGGAACAGAACTGCTTTGGCTGAAACTTTCAAAAAGTTCAGCCCAAAGCAGATATCTGGCATGGAAAAATCAGTTTGAACTACACTTTGGCAAAAGTCAGAAAGTAACTAAGAGTTAAGCCTGGAAATGTAAAGGGTCACACAACCTTAAGTACAGGTGGCACTAGCAGCTCTACCTATAGTAAATACTATACCTGAAATCCATTTCAGTGGACTTTGTTGTCAGGTTTGTTCTTATAAAGTATAATATACATATAAATGTATACACACACACAGGTTTCACCTCAACTCTACAGCATCAGTCCACTATGAGCAAATATCAGATTAAGTTTCCTCCAGTATTTTTTCCTCCTTGGTAGCTCATTTAAGTAATTAAGAATCAGTCACAATTAACTCTCTTCCAGGAAAAGTTCTAAGAATCAGCTATATTACTAATTACCTGAGAGAAATTAAAAATTGGAAGTTTCTTTCTGTTATGTGTTTTACCAGAAAAGTTTTTCTTTAAAAAAGGGAAACAAAGGAATGAATCAATGTAAGTTCAGTATTAGTAACTCAGAACAGTTCCTGCAGGCTCTAGACTAATCTTACATACAATGTACTAAAAGCCCAGGGTTTGTGGGTTTCTTTAATTTGCTTCTAATACTATAAATTTTGTGACAATTGGTAAACAAGAAGACCATGAAAGTCAAAATAAAAGAACAAAGGGATAAAAATTGAAATGGAAAAATCACTCACTTGTCCTCTGCTGCTGTTTTACTCTAGCTCTTCTCCTGCCTTCTCTCCGTTGGTTTCTTATTTTTCCTGTCCTCTGCATGCTACACTTTTACCTATGGACATAAACTTCCAACTCCAGCAATTCTTGTTATTTTGAAAGCTGAAGAAAAATTGATGTTCTTAATGCAAATCTCCTCCCCAGCCTGAACACAAGAGAGTTTAAGAGGAAGTTTCTTCTGCAATTGCTGGCCTCTTTATAGGGTAGCAAGTTATTTATCCAAAAAAGGGTTTTTATTTATTGTACTTAATCCTACTTCAATTGAATACTGACCTCTTCTCGATACACAGTGATACTGTGCTTAAATTCTGTTGTGTCTTCAAAGTGGCACATAACTCTAAATGCTACCTCTACTAGGCATATAAACACAACCCCAAGTTTTTTGCTATATTTACAGTAGGCTAACATCCTTGAAATAATACATGATTTTTGCTGCCCTATGAAGACATCTTTTGTGAAGATACAGAAAGGAAAAAAAGCCCACTCTAAGTAGTTTCATTTCCAGAGTAATTACAAACACATCCCAGATGTATGTTAGACAGGGCCCCCAGATTTCAGGAGAAAGCTGCCTGCTTGCTTCCTCTGGAGAAAAAAAAAAATCCTTTTCTCCA